TAGGGATGTGGTGGAGGGTTTCTTTTCCTTTTTAAGATGGAAAGACTGAGCATGGGTAAATGCCAATAAGAAGAAGAGAAAGAGGGAGGGAGGGGAAGAAAGAGGGTGGGGGGGTAGAGAGAGAGAGGGAGAGGATACAGGAGAGATGGTGTAACAGAGGAATGGAGGTCTCTGAGATGTAAGAAAGGATGTCCAGAGCAAAGATGATGAATTTTCCTTTATCAGGAGATGGAACATCTTCTAGAAGAAGTTTGACAGTGGAGGCGCATTTGAGAGTTTGTGGCAGGAAGCTGAGAGATAAATGATTAATGAAGGGCTGGATTCACCTTCATTTTCAAACAAACCATGAATTTAAGAATCGAGGGGGTGGACTACAATCTGGCTGACGTGTGCATTTTCTCCTTGCTGTTGAATTACTCAGCCAACAAGCAGTCTTGTAGAAGACATGAATGCGGGCTCAAGTCTGCAATGGCTGAGCAGGGCTGGTATGGAAGAAAATGTACCCAGGCAGATAGGGGCTTATCAAGAACTAATGTTTTGCTAGCACCCTCAACCTAATGTCACATTTCTGAAAGCATGCTTTTCATATGGAAACCTGCGTTTCTAACCTTATGGAATATACATACAATTTGCAGAGGGAGCGCCAAAACATTTAGATCAAAGTGTGACCATGCATGCATATCTTCAGTAAGGAGGCCTTCAGATTTCCCAATGCGAATAATTATTTTTATTTTTATCTTTTAGTGAAAAACACTAATCTCAAACCAGACATTCTGGAACCCATCAAGGACACACTGGAAGTAGAACTTGGTAAGGTGGCTGGGTTATCACCCTTGACTGACGCCATGCTTCTGGGAGCAGATCTAAGTGTGTTGTGAGGAAAGGAGCATTAGGGTTCGAGTGAAATAGAATGCGGTGTGTATCTCGACTCAGCCACGGATTAGTATTGTGACCTCATACAGTCACCTGATCTTTCTAAGCCCAAGTTTTTAAACCTGTAAAAGGCAAATTAGAACCGACTTCACAATGATAAATCTAGGATAATGTACATTAGGTGGCTGGTGTGTTGGGCACGATCGATAGATTTTAGATTCTTTCTTACACATCCCAGGAACAGGTGGTTATGTATATGAGATCTATCAGTCAAATCTATAAACAAAATTGAGTAGCATTGGCCTTTTAAAATATAGTGTCTGGTTTGGTCTTTAAGATAATTATAGGCGACTATTACAGATCCTGCTCAAATAATTTGTTTTCCAAAGTAGCATCTTTTGGGTAGAGGGGCAATGTCACTTTCCTATTGTCCCCTTTTATTTTGTCAATTTCAGTAAATCTACATCTGCCCAAACAGCCAAATAAATAAGGCTACTTGATTTAAAACCAAGTGCTGGTTGCTTCAATAAAAAAAAAAAAAAAAACACAAAACTGTTCTTTCAAATGCAAAAATATTTATAATTGTAAAGAAATGTAAAAAATAGATATTACTGTAAATGACCACAAGGTGGCGGTATTGGTATATCCTGATTATAGATACATGGGCAACATCACAAGAAAGGAAGAAAGTAGGAAAGCAGGAAAAAAAATTACTTGGAAAATAACCAGGTAACATATGGTATCAGTGAATTTTAAAGTATTTCTGAGGGCGGGTGGGCATTATTAAGGTGCAACTATGAGTTTTCAAATGGATTCCCTAACCATTTCATGGTTAAAACACTGAGTTTGAGGCAGAGAAAAGGGGGAGAGGGAGGATGGTGTGATAACATTCATGTCCATCCACAGTGCATTGTTCAAAAAGCAGCTGAATATCCAAATACTTTCTTCTTTAAACTATATGCTACAGTAATCTCGTGATTTTTATTTAATATTCAGATATTGGTTAGAAAAGTGTTTTTTGTTGATGCACCTTGTACTTCAACAGCAGCCTTGGGAGACCAGGCTGGTCACTGAAACTTCACATTTTCTTGGTGTCTATCCTCAAACCACATCAGAGCACTTAGTGCTATGACCATGGCAATCTTTTATTTTTTATTATTTATTAAAACTAAAAAAAATTTTCTATTACAGTTTGCGTACAATATTATATTAGTTTCAGGTGAACAACATAATGATTAGACATTTCTATACCTTACAAAGTGATCATCCTGATAAGTCTAATATACACTTGACATCATACATAGTTATTACAATATCATTGACTATATTCCTTATGATGTATTTTAAGATCATACAGTCATGGGTTCGAGATCTATGAATTGCCCATTAGAGACAAACAAACTTGGTTTCATTTGTTTCAAACATACTTGGTAGACGTTCGCTTATTTCTGGCATGCCTGTTTTATTGGCAAACTCGATGGCGCCGGGGATCAGTCTTCAGATGTGGTGTTCCTTCTGCACAGGGCAAATCGTTCTCATGGGCTTCCTTCCTCATTTCTGTGGCCCCTTCATTTTCAGGAAAGCCTTTGACTCTTTACTGCAGAGCACGATTTGGCTTTGAAAAGCACTTTAAACCTGTGATAAGATGGTACAGCAAAGATTCTGACCAGGAGTCGGAAATCCCAACAACTGAGGAGAGAAGGTAAGTAGGGAACTAGTGGACAATAATCTTTGCGACCCATAGAAACCTGTCACCTTTGGAAACCTTTCTGATGTACACAAAGAACTGAGTGAATACACAGAGTCGGTGCAGCCACGGAGCACTGACTAGTGGTGAAAATAAGAGTACAGAAATGCACAGTTCATGTTAATTTTACACGCGAGGCCAAAGCAGTTTCTGACAGGGTTATGAAATGAAATATTTAAGTTGTTTTAAAGCTCGATTTGTAGCAACGGTGTGATGTAGCTGCTTTAAACATCAAGCTGATGATCAGACAGATGCTCTGACGCAGACTAGAAGCAGCATGTCCATTGAATGGAGGAGAATGTCACCCTCCGCCCCGACCCCAACTCCTCACTTTCCCCAGTGCCATCTGTTCAGTGTATCAAAATCTTTGGAGTCACTGACAGTCTCGAATATAAGAAACAAGGGGATGGCACAAGAATGAGGAGTCTGACCAAGAAATATGCAAAGTGAAGAATAGCTGGAGTGATGCCACCTGGGAAAGGAGACTCAGGCGGTGTCTGTTCTGAAGTACATGGAAGCTCTTACGTTTTATGAGAAACTAGACTTAGTTTGTGCATCTCCAGAGCACAGAGCCTAGAATTTGCTGGGAAGACAGTTCGGCTCAATAAAAATGAAAACTCTAGATATTTGAGCTATCTGATGCCTCACAAAGCGGGACTCCGGTCCTCCCTGGAGGGTTAAGGTCTCAGATGCCATCTGTAGGGCATGTCACTGAAGTTTACAGTTCCTCATTTTTCCAGGATCTGTTCCAAAGTAAGAGTCCTTCTGATTTTTAAAATATTTCAAACAAATATAATATCATTTTGAAAGTATACAACATTACAAATAATAAAGGGCAGATTTTGGGAACAGTAATAACATTTAGCAAGAGAAGTCATTAGGTTCCCTGTTAAGCTGACGTGGCATCAAAGTTCAACATAGTCCAGTGTGACAAATAGTCTGCTCTGACTTCACACACCCTTGGGTTGAATCTCTGTTTTCCACTTGCTGGCAATGTGACTCTTAACCTCTGTGAGCCTCCATCATGCCATTTTGCAAAGTGCCTGTAAGGTATGAATACAATAGAGGTGACATGCTCCTCACAGTCTCTGGCAGGTGAGAAGCATTCTGTGATAAATGTTCGGTGTTGTAGGCTCCAAGCAACACAACCTAAAACATCATTCACCTAAACAATATTCTGTAATGTGGAGACTGCCTATCGGCAACTTTAGAGAATCCAGTTGTGACTAAATGTCAAGACTCACACTTCCTGGATGCAGCAGAATGGCACAAGCCCAGGAATCTAGCTGCCACTTTCTGGCGGTGTGACTTTAGACTGTCACCCCCCTTCTGTGCCTGGTCTGCATTGCTGGCCAAGTTATGCTAAGCATACCATTATCTCATGGGGTTCCCGTAAGACGAGAAGGAAATTCGATATCCCCCATTCAGTACTCAGAAGACTCCTGATACATAGTGAGTCCTCAATAGAAGTTAGTCATTTTTAATATTATTCTTAAATTATGGTTATCATCTGTTCTCAGGAGGAATTCTTAGACTAAGAAAGGTCAGTTGAGGCCCACGAGTAAATTAGATTTTAGTGTAAATGCTTAAAATGGTGCTTAGCGGATTCAATAATTTTTAAAAAGAGTCCTTCGTCACCATCTGACATTCTTCTGGCATCTGCTCCAGCTGTTTGATCCCACAGCTGTTCTGAAAGCTGGACTGTTGGCCTCTTCTGTGGACTCCACACACTGCAAACGGGTGTCCGTTATCTACTGAACTGGTGTGATATTTCTCCTCCTATTCTAGTGTTAAATCCACTTACAAGGATGAAGTCATTGAGCGTGTCATCCGCTTGAAAGAAGTCACCCAAAGTGATCTTCGCAAGACGTTCACTTGCTTTGCCCAGAACTCCATCGGAAATACTACCCAGTCTGTCCAACTGAAGGAGAAGAAAGGAGGTAAGCCCGAAGGTTGCCACAAAATTCACACCATGGCTTTTATCTGAGGGGAAAGGCGTTTTCCTAAATGATAATGATGATGATGATGACGGCCATTAATACTAACTATGTCAGACAATGTTCTAAGCTCTGCTGTGTTAACTCACCGAACATCTTATCCAAAGCCACACAACTAGTAAGTTTCATATCAGTTAATTTCATTCATTCATTCAACTAATGGATGATTCTAGAACATCAGGTTTTGAATGCCTACAGGCTTAAATAAGAAAAAGACATGTGCCTGGCCCCCAGTGGGTGCTCCATAAAGGCGTGTCCCCTATGTTAGATGCCATGGAGGGTGCGAAGGTGAGCCAAACAGAGCTGGCCTCAGGAAGTTGAGACTTCAGTAAGGAAGATAATATGTGGATGTAAGTTACCACATACGATGAAAGGGATGCAAATGTGTTGTATGGAAGTTTAAAGGTGAAAATAAGTAAAAATGGCTATGATCGGTGTCCCAGGCCACCCGGATCAGGAACTGCATAATTTCCTGGGTTCTCTTGAGTTCATTGTAACATAGGGCGTTTTCAGATTCAAGAAAAATGCTTCCAGCAGCCGTGATTTTTATAAAAGGGTAGGGACGGAAAAGGAGCCGGGTGGGCCCACAGCATCGCCCGACCGTGGCCTTGACCCCGGAACGCTCGCTCACGGCGGCCATGTTCTCCCCAGTGGTGTTCCTGTACCTCCTCCTTGGCACAGTCACGACCCTGGTGGGCGTGCTGACGGCAGGAGCCCTCCTCTACATGTACTGGATTGAAGTTGTGCTGCTATACCGAACATATCAGAGCAAGGATGAGACGCTCGGGGGTAAGGCGGCCCCAAGGTGCCTCTGACTTTTCCTCTTGAAACTGACTCAGAGGGAGGAACTCCAGAAATGGGTGTTCCCTGATAGGGAAAGCCACGCCCCTCACTGGGGCTTTGAGACTTTTTCTGGGGCTGAAGGCGCACACCGGGGAGGGCTGGGAGTTGGTGGGGAAATAGTTTCATCCCAGTTTCCCGGACCCTTGCCCATGATGCTGTTTGTCGGACATACTGGACTTGAAAATAATCTCTCTGCTAATCAACCTAAAGCAACCTGGCAGATGATTTAACACTTCCGTGCCTCCGTTTCCCCTTCTGTAAAACGGGACTGCAACGACAATGACAATAACGATGAGTGCTATGATGGCCCTTTGGGTAAAGATGTATTAAGCTTTTAGTACAGCATCTAGCGCGTAGTAAACTCTCAGTAAATGTCAGCTATTATTACTTCGCGAGTACCAAGTGCATGCCTGTCATGTGTCTTAGCTACTTTCATTGTCACATTAGTCAGAGAGATGTGAAGTCGTGTGCCCCAAGTTGAACTGCTGGGTGTTGTTAGAGTGTAGGACATGGACCTGGGCATTTGGCTCAGAGCCCGCCATTAGCTATTACCTCAGTCAACCTTACCTGTAAATGAGGAGCTTGATGGGAAAGTCCATAAGAGCCTGACGTTCTATAAGATGCAGGTACTAGACTGCTAATGAAAAGTCTGTCAGTTTCCCCATGAGATGGGACGATAACCTTTACTAATGTTTGCTTCTTTAGAATAGAAGAGCTGCTTCTGTGTTTTGCTAGTCCAGGAGTCCCCTAGGATTAGAATGTTCGCAGTTTTAGCAAATGATTCTGTTGCTTGGATGGAGCAGAAGCCCATCTGCTGAACTCAGGGGCTAGTTTCTTACCTGACGGGAGGCCCCTACACACAGTGCTTCTCTGCCCCCAGGAACTCAGTGAGAGCTATTAGATCCCCAGGGGAAAGGGCTGGGTGGAGAAACGCACTGTCTTGCCTCCTTTAGACCAGAATATGTACTAAAAATCCTTAAGCCGAATGCTTTTGAGATTTTTTTTTTTTAAATTAGCCTTTTTGAATTGAACCAATTATCTAATCAGTGTCATAATTGTTTCCATGGATAACTTCATACTTCTTTTACCAAAATGCTATTTATCTTAAGATTCTAGAGCTTCTACAGAAGAGTAGATCAACTGTGAAACAAGTAAATGCGTCCTTTCTCATTTTACTCTGATGGGGGGGTGTAGGGCTTAGTTTTCAAGTACAGCGATTCAGTGCCCTCTCCCATTTAGCTAATGTTTTTCAGCAAAACACATGTTTCCTTTGAAGTTAATGCTGAAACCCAAAATTTTAGAGAGACATAGACTGTCAACACTGAGGAGGACTTAACAGATTATCCAATACCTGCACACTCTAATTTTATTGCCGAAAAATGTAATATTTTTAGATTATAGAAAAGTCTTGGTTTGCTGGATTTTTCCATGGACATGGATGAATTGAGGCAACTGTGGTGTGTTACACATTTAAACTGCACAGCACTTACCTGCTGGCCACACCCATGAGCTTCCACCTTCCCACCTGGGCTCAGCTCCTTGCTACCCTCCTCTCCTGACTCCTCCTCTCCCCCCACCTCCCTTTTCTATCATTGGCACTTCCATCCACTGAGACCTCTTCTTAGGTCCACGTTGAGCAAGTGTACCGTCAAATTCATCAGCAGCCAGCACTGTTGTTTACAATCTTGTAACAATATTATTTTCCAGGTGCTGTGCAAAGTATTGGAATATGATCCAGGTGTATCCAAACCCTAAGCCCACGAGTTAACTTTAGAGATTCCTTAGCGCATTCAGTTAGTTCTTTAGCACATCTAATAATCATCGTGCATTTGTAACATCTTAGTCAGCAGAGGTATGCGAGACCTTGAAGATATCCTGTAAGAGGTTCCATGAAGGTAGCGTCCCATCCAGAAGGGAGAGAAATGGATATTTGTCTTGTGACCGCTATGAGCCAGACACCAAGCTCCTCACATACATTGTCTCATGCAACCCTGAAAGCAGCCTGCTGGGGGAAGATTCACTGACTCATTTTACATATGGGGATTCAAATAGAGGTACATGTGCTCTCAGCTCTCTGATGTACAGAGGGCTTGGTCTTAGCAGTGCTTTGCTCACTGGATACTATCATGCTTTGATGGAGCAGACTCTTCTTTGATGTGTAACTAATGAGACAGCAACACTGCAGATGCAAAGAAAGCTCAGAGGCTTTCTCTAGTACTTGCGATTTAATCACAGAAGGCCCCAGCTGTTTGATCTGACCTTAGCGAAATGGCAGGAGAGCTTTGGAAATTAGAATTTGATTCCGAGCAGACAGTCAATACCACTTATCAGCGAGCTTTTGAAATGGTCTCCGTTGCTGTTTTCATTTTTTAAATCAATTCAATAAGGACCCTAAATCTTAATTCTCATCCATTTACCATATGGTCAGAGCATATGTAGGTATGCCACAATAGTAAAATTATGTAAATGGCTTACAATATTATTGTTCCTCTTCTTCAGATAAAAAGGAATTCGATGCTTTTGTCTCCTATGCGAAATGGAGCCCTTTTGAGAGCGAGGCCAGTTCACCTTTGAGTGAAGAAAACTTGGCCCTTAATCTATTCCCTGAAGTTTTGGAAAATAAATATGGGTACACCTTGTGTTTGCTTGAAAGAGATGTGGCCCCAGGAGGAGGTAGGTCCTGCATGCCAAGAGAAAAGATGGGATAAAAGGGACAGTTAAATGCAAGGGCTAAGTTTCCTTATCACACTTCCTGTGTGGGATATACCTCTTCTGGAAGGTTTCATGATCTGGTCCCGACACTGAGCTTCCATGAGATGTGCAGACCTCATCCTGTCCCACTGACCTTCTATACCTCAGACACCCCACCCAAGAGCCTGCAACGCTCTGTGGCCCTCTGTTATTCCAGCCTCCCTTGTTCCATCAAACGTTGCTCCTAAGAGGAACTGATAATTTGAAGGACGTAAAACTGAGTCACTAGACACTAAAGTCTAACTTCAACTGTCGATAGAGTTAATATAGCAAATGCAACAAAGTCAGCCATGTTTTCTTTCCTCCTTGTATAAGAGTGTCCATTGCAAGAACCCCTCTGGGTAGATCTGGGAGATTCAGGGTTATTGTGACTCAAGGCTGAACAATGACACTTGCAATTAATTAAGTTCTTTATTTCCAGTGTATGCAGAAGACATTGTGAGCATTATTAAAAAAAGTAGAAGAGGAATATTTATCTTGACCCCCAACTATGTCAATGGACCCAGTGTCTTTGAACTACAAGCAGCAGTGAATCTTGCCCTGGATGATCAAACACTGAAACTCATTTTAATCAACTTCCATTCCTTTCAAGAGCCAGAGTCTCTACCTCATCTTGTGAAAAAGGCTCTTCGGGTTTTGCCTACAATCACTTGGAGAGGCTTAAAATCAGTGCCTCCCAATTCCAGGTTCTGGACTCAAATGCGCTATCATATGCCTGTGAAAAACTCTAAAGGATTCACGTGGAACCACCTCAGAATGATCTCACAATTTTTTGCCCGGAAAGACCTCAGTGAAATAGAAACCACTGGGAGGAGCTCCCAGCCTAGGGAATGGAGAAATGGGCTCTGAACCACCTCCCCTCCAGGCTCTGGCAAGCAGAGATGGTGATGGACAGAACACATACCGTGGATCGGGCTGATATAAAATGGAGGGGGTTCTGCCAGCTCTGAGCAAGCATGACAGGCACTGGAATGACACTGAAGCTGTGATTAGAGCCTCTGATTTGTTGGACTGGACAAAGGGAGAGTGAATTCTCCAGACACTAGCATATATTCAGCACACAGTGCCCCTAATAGTCTGAGCAGAATCAGCTGATCCAACCACTTTTGCTTTGTGGTCAGACTATGTAGTCGGCTATGTAGTGTACATATAAATTTATGTATATTTGCAATAGAATAAGTATTATTTTTATTAGAAACAAGTGATTTAAACTTTGCCAAAAGTTTCTCTGTAAAGAAGACCATTCTTACTCTATGTTCACTCATTAGCTCTAGAGCAGGGACAGCAAATAGAAAAGGCAGAGACCAGGAGACAGGAGCAGACAATGCCATGGTTAGTCTTTACCATGTCCATCTGGGAAGTCCTCCCTCTAGGAGGATGAACATGAGGAATAGGCCCCTTCCACAGAGCCGATGCCACCCTGCACTGGGGCACAAGGCCTGGAGTGCAGAGCAGGGCTTATTTCAGCTTCTCCCTGTGCCCTTGGACTTTGGGCCGGGTGTGAACTGCACAATCTTACTCTGGGCCTCTGAAAGTAGGAACCAACTAGGCCTCAGCGTTTAGGCCAATGAGGAGACAGGGGCTGGACTGGCAGTCACACACAAAGTGGGAAGGCACTGGCAACAGTCAGCCAAGGTATGAATCTGAGAAATCAATTTATACAGTGGTTAAAAGACCACAAGAATGGAGTTTGAACGGAGCTTTCCTCTAAGCCATTTGCCCATTGAGGCTGACACTTCTTGTATATCCTTCCTGAACTACTGATCTCAGTTGATGTCCTAAATGAGGAGATTTGCTGGAGGTCCAAATAGCTGTTCCTGGTAGGCTAATTTCATTCTCATAAGTTTGTCCTCCTTATGAGAATTTAATCTGTAGTTGAAATTCTCTTCAACTCACGTATGAATGCAAAACCTTCACACTCTGTCATACCTGATGGAATGGAATGATCCATTGGAGTAATATAGCAGAGAAACTTCTGGACTCATTCACATGCAATGTATCACATCCATGGTAAGAATGTGATCCAGGCTCGGAGTGGCTAAAAGGCATTGTCATCTGGCCACCAAGTAGAGTCTGTGTGAAATGCTCTTGAGCTCTTTTTTCACAGAGTCACCCACATCATAAAAACCACCATGGCTTTGGCACCAAGCAACATCCTTGTTGGGAATTCCAGTGATAAAGTTAAAGATGAGTTAAAAGGTACAAATTATTCCTGGAGGAAGTTTCTTGTGGGAAGGCTCATTGTAGGGTCTTGGTGAGGAAGAACCCACATTGTCATCGTGCCATTGTGCTACAGGGATGGCCAGAATCCCTGGTTTTCCTGCCAGCTACTCTCTGAGATTTAAGACTCTTTTGGTCATCTTACTCAGGTTTATTTTATTCTAACATAAACACTGCTATAACTGATCTAGCCAGTAGCCAGTGGTTCAGGGTTTTGTTCTGAGCTTCACAGAAACTCAAACTGAGCCTCAGGTTTAAAAAGACACAAAAAAGAAACTATCTGGGTGTCACATTTGCAGAAAACACTCTCTCCAGGTTAGTAGGTATGCTGAAGAGTACAAATTAACATTTAAGACAAAAGTTTGTTTATATTTTCAATGTGTACGTTAATCAAAATAAAGTTGACAATGAAAACAAATTTTCTATACATAAGAGGCTGATGGTCATTAAACAATTGAACTCAGTGTAATACAATGAGAAAGTATTATTTTCCCTCCATGCCTCTAAATAAGGTGATGATATATTCTGGTTCCTGGTTTACACTGTTGTCCAAGTACAATTTTTATAGCCCAAGTGAATTTCTCACTCTGAGAATGTGTTCTAGTTTGGATGATGGTCGCCCGACCTCTAACACACACTGTAGAGTACTCCTTACTGACCTTAGATGATAGCTCAGGCAGATCTCACAGCTTTCCTGGTTTCTTCTGGGTTTTAATTCCTATATTTACCATCTATATTATTTCCAGATCACAGTTGCAAATAAACTGAAGTAAGCATACACCACCTTATTGTTCCCACTCATTACAGCTGTACAACCTGGACACAATGAATAGAAAATCAGTTTGAGGATTTTTGAAAGTAAATTGAAGCAGGAAGAAAGAACAAGACACGATTTCAAAGTTCCATGGTTTTATTTAACTCTGATATCCCCTGGCTTAGACTTGGTGTAGTCTGAAATACAGAAATGAATATTAATGGTAACAGAAGGAGTTACAGAAGAAGCCTTCTAATTCTGCTTTGAAGACTGGAAAAAATGTTTTCTAAGATTCCCATATTTTTTCCTTTCTATGTTCTTTCACTTCCCATCCCCTGTTCTATTCTATGACAGTGACAGTGGCACCAGAAAAAGCAGCAGTAAGAGGGACCCTCAAGCACCTACATCTCTGAGTAAGGAGAATTGTTCACTGTGATAAAGAATCTACGGTCCCCAGAGGGCATGACAAATCTTTATTGATTTTTTTCTATCTGTCCTCTTACCATTTGTCTGTGGAGATGGAAGTAGTTTCAGGAAGTGCACTTCAGAGTGAGGCATATAAAGCACCAATACTCTGGCCAGAGAACTACGAAGAGGAGGATAGAAAGCCTATGGAACCAGAAAGTACCATGGAGATAGCAGACAGAGGGTTGATTAGGAAAGCAAACCAATAATGTTGCTTACAAACTCTCAGGCTCATTGAATACAATCCATTGAAGGCAAAAAAAAAATTGTAACATTTCCTGACAGGATTTTCATAGTAGGTAGATGTAATAATATGAGTCAACTACAACATAAAGAGACTATATAGGGGTAAGGTAGCTACGTACTGCTTGAAGTGGTAAAATATTGATCCTAAGTAGAAAGTTAAAATGTATGTACATTATATTTTAATCCCTTGGGCAACCACTAAGACAAATAAATGAAAATATTGTTAAAATATGATAAATAAAATGGTATAACAAAAAATGTTCAAATAAACCAAAAAAAGAAAGAAAAAGGAAAATGAGAAAACAAAAAAATCGCGGAAATAAACAGAAATGAAAACCTATGTGCGCACACACTCACACTGTACCTGAATGTTTACAGCAGCTCTATTCATAATCATCAATACCCGGAAACAACTCAATGACCTTCAATTAGTGTGTGTCAGTTTGGGTCCAACCAAGAGACAGAAACCACACAGTAATTTACAAAGGGGTATTTTAATATAAATAATTATTTGGCTATAAGAAGGTAACTATAAATATGTAAACAGAACTTCAAGGAGTATCTTAGGGCTGAAGTAGAGTGGTAAGAGAAACTTGAAAGGGATTCCCTTCTGGGTCTGGGCTTCGAAGCTTGTTGGAGAAAGTGTGGTGTTGCCCACTAGAGGGCCAAGTTCTCTTGGTTGCCTGGGCCAGAGATGGTCCATAGAGTAGGAAGGCAGCAAGGACCTCCCAAGCATGACAATCCATGGCTGGTAGACAGACTTGCAGCACAGATTAGGGCATTGCCGTGGGTCTGGGGTCTAGGCACATGGTGTCCACATTAGCAGAGTTTCGGGGGTCTAGGCATATGGTGTCCACATTAACAGAGCTTCGGAGAACAAAGCTTTGGTGTACAGGTGCGCCTCATCTGATGTGTCCACATCAGGAGGCTGTGGGAAGGTGATCATCTGGCCCAGAACAAGACTGCGAAGTGGCTGAGAGACTGCTTCCTCTGGGTCCATGGCTTGGACAGGGCACCAAGAGATGTCCTTGCACATCCATACTGCTGACTGATGGTGCTACAGGAACAAGAAAAAATGCAGCCTCTGGAACCAGAGCAAGCAATACTCCTCCAGCGCCCTCTACTGATGGAACAGCTGCTGACTGATGGTGCTACAGGAACAAGAAAAAAACAAAATGCAGCCACTGGAACCAGAGCGAGCAATACTCCTCCAGCGCCCTCTACTGATGGAACATAACATTGTGTTCGCTGGAAAGAATATATGCTTCAGAAATCCAGTCCATTAAGTGGAGCAGCTACTGAATAGTGAATCTGGGCTGAGAAGTAATAAAATGATAACTGGCACAGGCCAAAGCAATCAATAAATAGCTGTGCATGCAAAAAATTAAGTACTTCTCAACAATAAAGAAGAAATCACTACTGAAATACACAATAACCCGGATGAATCTTGAGGCATTATGCTGAATAAAAAAACTTATCTCAAATGGTTACATTTTTCCACTTATATGACATTTCCAAAAAGGCAAAACTGTGACAGAGGTGACATCTGTGGTTTCAGGGGTTAGACAAGAGTAGGGAGTGACAAATGGACACACAAAGGGAGAGTATTAAGAAAGTAAACTCATTCATTGTCTTGGCAATTATGAAAATCTATATCAGTGTTAAAATTCATACAGCAGTACACCAAAAGGGCCAGTTTTATTATATGTTAATTGAAAAATAAAAGTTTAAAAAGTCTAGCCCAATCTAATACCAAAACTTTAATCTTTAATGCAGTTGAATTTGTCCCTTCACCCTGGCAGAAGCCCGACCTGTGATTCTACAGATCAGCAATGCGACAGGAGAGTGTGGTCTACTTTTCTCCCCTGTCCTGCTCCTTCCTGTCTGTTTGTCATTTTAAAAATTGGGTTTAGAGGGAGAAGAGTCTAGAGGAGAAGAAGGAGAGATCTTTTAACTCAGATGGAATCTTTGAAATTACCTCTTAATGGTGGAATGTCCTTTCCTTTACCTGATGTTACACTGCCAGCTCCTTCTGTTTGAGACATTCTGGCAGATTGTTTGGACAACCTCTCTCCCATCTTTTCCACTGCTCCTGGTGCTGCCTCCTCTGGATGACCTGCATTCCCTGCCCCATTCAGTATGATTCACCTGCCGGATGAGGAAT